TTTCAGTACTTCTAAATCCATTTATCAATTTACATAAACGTGCCAAAGCACATACATTGGAAGTACAGAGAGAAAAGTACATGTTCACATTTCCGAGCATGTTTCAAAAAACGTGAAACTGAGAGGCGCAATAGCTGTTAACAGTGTAACAACCCTGAATTTACCTGACACCGGGCATACCATTGATATTCCTCAATTCTTCAAAATTATAAGCAGACAAAGAAGCACAGCGTCTCTTCGTTTTGCTGAAGCAATTGCGATAAAAAAAAACTTAGACCTGATTTATGTATGTACTACCCTGGTAAATCATTTCCATCATTATGATTATTTTGTTAGTGTTTATTTTGTTATATGGTCTTCACTTACCGAATTCTTGTTTTATGTACATTAAAACTACCTCTTCGCTAATACATCTTTATTTACTCAATTCACTTCAATTATGTACTCTCCTTAAATCCTATTAATTGTTACGTAACCCACTTTACTAATCTTCCTAATTCCAGGAATCTTATGTAAACTCTTCATTACCTCAAATTATCACACAATTAATTTTGTCTCTGAACCTTACTTAATTAGAGCATCACCCGCCCCCCATGTTTTTCGATTCCAATACCAAATGACCGACCTGTTCCTGAACATAAATATATAGTTATTATTAATAACCATTGTCATTCCAATTCCTTTTATTTATCTATGTCAATTGTTTCGCACTATATCTGACCTCATTGTAAGCTTTCAATACATATATGGTTGTAAGCAGCTGATGAGAGACCATGACATATAGTGAATTCATATTATAATGAATCCCTGTTTGTTCTGGTTTTATTTAATTTCTTTCTCTCCGTCTAAGGCTTTTTGGAACATACTCAAAAGATCTAAGATATGCCCTCCTTTCTGTTCAGCCAATGTAGCTGCCTTGGCAGGTGGACGTAAATTTAGAAACACGATTGGCGGTAATATGAAGGGTATGCTTGTTGATATTTGTCTGGGTTACTCAACATATTGTTTTATAAAAAATACGTAGTTTGGCTGCCGGGTAAGTTTTGGCTAATGCAGTGTTAAACCTCCTGCTGACTGTGCTTGTGACGTCATCACATTTGAAGTTGAGATTCATATATAACAGTTCTTTACATTTGTCAATAAATGTCTATGGGTAGCAGTTACTTCTTAGGCATTTTACAACGTTCATCAATTCTTCTTCCGATTTGTCGATGGTACATATCCCTTCTACTTTATAAAAAGTAGTTGCTATCAGGTATCAAATACTTTATTTGTGTCCAAAATGAAGTAGTTATTACGTTTCCCTTGTCTTAGTAACAAATATTCCTTTGTTGCATCTTAAAATACTTTTAAAAAACCCTATTGATGTGAACAGAGAAACAAGAAGCCTTGACAAACTACGGAAGCTATTTTTCGGGACGTTATTCCATGTAATTTAAAGTTTGTAAAACAATAACATTTTTTTTCTAGTCTATTCTACAAATCATAAACTTTCGTTTGATGTATGATTCACTGCCATAGTCCTTTTTATTCTAAAGCTTATCTTCTCTCACTCGCGTGCTTGTCAGCCAATCAATCAGGGGATAGAATAGTTTTCGTCTCTCTCACCCATTTCGAACTCACGCATACTAGCCTTAGGTTTAAGCCAGTCAACCTATCGCGTCAAGGTCTTAATCTAGATTAGACAAGTTATCCTCTGAACAAAATTGGTAGACAGATCAAGGACGTAACACCTTTCTTGAATTTATTGCATCATTGAGTTTTTATTTTGAATGTCTTCCAGATTAGCAACCTTATTTTATTAACTGATCTTTACTCATTCTTGTCAGCATTTACTCATTACGTGATCACTTGTTTCTGGCCGTTTGAATTCTTATTATAATCAATGTTGTAGAATGTTCTTTTACATAACGTATATATTTACAATATTTGGTCTATTGAATTTATTTACACCCTTGATATGCTATACTGATATGTCTTAAACATAACTTTCAACTAAACTCTTTCATATAAGTAGTTTAAACCCATTTTGTAGTATTTTTAAATACCATAGGTGTAAGGAGCTGACGAAGACCAGATGAAACAAAATGAATTCATGTTATTCTGTTTGGATCTTTGTTCTTGCTCTCTTCAAAATGATAAAGAGAACTATGTGCATGAGATGATGCTTTAATAAAGTATTTCTGATGAAGTGGAGCGTTGACTGTTACCAATTAGTGTCTATTGTCTGAGGAACATCTAATGATTCAAACCACACTCAGATCCCGAGTACTGAAATAGCACCACTCAGGTTCAGTGTGTGACGTCATTAGCACGTATATTGACCACTGATGGATAAGGACATTCAAGGAATCGTAAAGAAATGTCCACGATGAGCACAAGCCGCAAAACCGTCACCGAAAATATAGCCATTTCTATGGCTAAGTGCAGGATTTCCATGGTTCTGTGTTTATGCTGATTTTATTGGGTCAATAAACGATCAACGCCTTCATATTGTCATCGACTCATTTACAAAATGACCAGTGATTTATTTGATGCCTGAGACCTCATCAACTTCAACCATAAAGACGCTGAACAGACTTATCGGGCAATATGGTTCACCAGAGACACTGGTTACAAACAATGAATCTCAGATCACGTCGGAAATCTTATCGAACTTCTGAATAAAGAACGCAATTACACACATTCTGTCATCGCCCTACTATCCTCAGCCAGACGGCCAAGCTGAGCGTTTTGGCGATACCTTCAAGTGAGATCTCATCATGTCACAAGGGAAGGGCACGACGGAGAAGGTCATCCAGAATTTCCTGAGAGTATACAGAATAACCCCGAATCCAGTCTCCCCCAATGTTGCCTCCCTTAGTGAGTTGATGTTCGGAAGCAAGATCTGGACTTCATTTGATAGCATGTATCCACAAAAAAGACGAGATTATAAACCTAAGGCGAAGATGATTGATCATGATGGGTTACCAGTGTATTTAAGGAACTTTTGATAACGGGAGCCTGCGTGAGTAGCGGGTGTCATCGTTAGAAAAGTCGGTAATGTGTTGTACAAAACTGATGTTCAAGGTAAATGCCAGGAGCAACACGTTAACCACATCCGCGATAGATGACTAAATTCGGATAAAAAATCCCCTAGTTCCATTTTGCCACTAGATTATTTAACTGATACAGTCAGTTTGGAGCATCAGGATCAGCGCGGAAGAATTGATGGCCAGACCTCAAGCAGATCACCAAGAAAACGACGTTGCCATCAACACCTTCAGCAAAATTCAAAAAGCAGGACTAATTTTCCAGGAGGGAGAGGTGGTATGGTCAGCCAATCAGAAGTAGCTCAATGAGGTCATACGATGGCAGTCAGAAATGACCTGATGGACAAGTGCATCATTGTAAATAAAAATAATATATTTGTAATATCCCAATGAGTAGAACATTGGATTTTTCTGACGTTTCGTGGCTTAGTGTAAGTACACAAAGAAACCTCCTAACAATCCGGTAGAATTGAACCAACTTCAAATTAAATCGGCAATAGCAGTTCATGCCATTTTCAACAACCACCAAATCGATTTTAAAAATATCAAAATATTGCAAAAAGGCTTTTCTAGCTACAAAGAAATGAGGGTAGCCGAGGCGTTCCATATAATGCTTAATCCTACTTCTCTCAATAGAAAAGAAGGCCTTACCATACATCCTACTTGGACCATCTATCCTAACCATTCAGTCTGATCGTATTTACAATTTCACACTTTCATATTACAAATTTAAACTCTATCCTTTCTTACCATATAGGTCCACAAGTGTTCATTCTTAAACAATGCACACATACATACACACACAAATTTACATACCTATCACTTATGAATCACCTTGACAGAAATGACATGATATCAACTTGTTCAGACCTGTTTTTGATTGATCAAATATTATTCTTGCATTGTTCCGTCGTACTATTTAAACTTGAATTAATTTTAATTTGGTTATTTATTCTCTGAAGAAGTGACTTACACTAAGTCACGAAACGTCAGAAAATCCAATTTTCTACTCATTGGGATATTACAAATATATTATTTTTATTTATAACAATCAACCCAATGCTCAATTTATTCGAAATTATCAAATCAAACCTTGGTAATGACACCTACAAGTGCATCATTGGTTAGAAAAAAGGGACTGATTTTCCAAGGGGTAGGGTTGTATATATGTAAATGAGTATTTATGCAATTTATTCGATAGCCCAATATTCTTTCTCGTTCATGCAATCAGTTGAGGGGTTAGCACATAGTACATCGTGTATTAGTATCAGATTTCGGACACCGCCGTTATAACATAAATTTGATATTTAGTGTGTCCTCATTACCAGTTTGCATTCTGAAGGGCAGACCTTTTGAGTAAATTACGCATCTTCGGGTCTTATTAAATCTGAAATTTGTTTAACTAAATGCTATTGCTTCTGACTGAAACCGAAAATCACTCATATACGACTCCGTGTAAATTAGTAAGCAGTTGCTTCACAGTATGAGGAATTGTCGTGGTATTGTAGATTTATTGGGGTTACAGACGGCCATCCGTTAATTTCGTCATTACTCTGAGTATTAAATCAATGATGAAGTTGTGTTTCAGATAGCAAATCGATAATAAGTTGGGTTACTAGAAGTAATGCAGTTCAACCTCAATCTGTTAGTAGGTTTTATAAACGAAAAATTTCTACACAAAAATTGGATCTCAGTTGTTATTCACCAAGAAATCATCTCCCTGATAATACTATCTCTCCACTAGCTGGTACAGTGATTTGCCATATAATGGGTTTTAACAAGTGTTTCTACTGCAAAAATTGAAGTTTCAATCAGTAGATTGAAATTGCTGCTTATTTCTAACGATTTCATTAAGTACCACGATAACATAGAAACACCAGACGGTGACTTGTAGAGTATGCATTTTCGCTAATGACTGATTCATAGTAGTGTCATGTAACATTTTCAACAATAAAAGAATAAACTAACCTGTACTGTGTAGCGGGTTTAAGTGGTCCATTGCATTCATGCGAATTATATGGACATACACCATTTTCACCGATTATGAAATATTTATCGGAATATAGATAACTTTCATTCATTCGGTAAGCCATTGAACGTCGTGTACGCGTCTGACTTAATTCCAACCGTGAATGTATAAGTACTTCCCATGATCCATTTTCTTTATTATGGCGATTTTTGTATGTCTTTTTTTATTGGGCGGTTGAATACAAACAATGCATCAATTAAAACTTCCTTAACAATGAATAAACACTTCAACTAAATTTTAAAATCATTTTTGATTGAAAGTTGATGTAGGATTAGGCGTCATTAGTGATTTACCAATGAATTATCATACATTATGATAAAATAGTGTCTGTAGGCTGTCAAAATACTTAGTAACATGCTATAAAGCTCCAATAAAAACTGATTAGGAATGAGATCTGTTTTTTCTATTCATATCTCATGTAGAATCACATATTTTTCCAATTCTATCAAACCAAATATTTGGCTCAGATAGGTAAATGTAACAGTTGTTATTATTATTAACTCATTTCCAAAAACATCAAGAACGCTTATCAAACATGTGTACAGTTTGTGATGAGCGTAAAACTTTCATTACCACAACATAACCGGTACCACTAGCAAGAAACTTTAACCTCTGGTTTCTTGACGGTTATCTACAACAATCTCAAACTAAAAATACGCTTTTTTCATAAATTACAAACGGAACGGAGACTTAGTATACAGAATTCAAATCTTTATAATCACTCCGAGTCAACATAGTTCTCGCAGTAAACGTATTCAAAAGACCACCCAAACTAATCAAGATATAAATAAACTATTTTTTAATGGCCCGTGATCAACCAATTATCCAGTAAATATTATTTGAACAGTACAAAGCACAGAAATGAATCACAAAATGCGAAATCGAAGTGTTTGTAGTTATTTGAGTAAACAAGAAGAACTTTACAAGATCCGTCAAGTGCGCCGAATAATTTTTTATAAAAACAGCAAATGGTATCTTTAATTGCTTTGATATTGATACACCCTCACACGAATCGAATGATGAAGTGCGGCGCATATATATTTGTTGCCTCCTTGTACAAATGTTTATGGGTTTAAATAAATAAATAATAAGCACACCGTACCTGATAAACTCAACTAATTTATATAAAATCTAACCAAATCGTTATATCATATAACGCTCCAGTACATGTCTAACGGCAGATCTATTACAGTGATTATTACTATCGTTTTCCTCTGCTTTCTGTTTCCGTCTTATTTTATCTAGTTGTAGATTATAACTACTTCGTAATGACACTAAAAATGACCATAAGTACATTGTACATTCTTCAACAGGACGTCTACTCGAAAAGAATGAATGATCCTTGACTGTTGGCCGGTATAGTTGTAATCCACAAGAAAAATGTACTACCTAAACAATTTCTGAACTAGGACACTTTAAACAATCTGACATAATATATCGATTCTTTACTTTTAGCATTGTTATTTATATGAAAATGGTCATGTTTGTAAATCGCCATGAGTTCTGTGATTCTTTTAAGAATATATATATATTAAAATGCGTCATTTGAATTTCACTCAATTAAACAGAGAATTATGTCAGTGGTAGGATAGCGTCTATCATTAAAATCAACATTCACTGATCCTTAGTTAACCAAAATATTATGAAAATTAGGTATTATGTTAAATACGTTTGTAGAGAACTTTTTATTTTGACGATGATTTTCATAACAAACTAATAGTTGTTAGAAAACTTTTGAAAAGGAACACGGGGCATCGAAATTACTTTAGTAAAGTACCCTTCAGAAACAGTAGCGAAACCTGACTCAAAGCCACCAAGTAGCGCTGAGGGGTAGTGAGGGCATCTTTGACCGCTAATATGGACAGTCGGTGGACATTGGACTAATTTACCACTCTGTTGTAAACTGGACTGTTTCAGTCCCAATTTTGGGGTCGACTAAATTTGGCGGGCCTCTTGACGTGTATGATTATGTATATGAATTGCATGAGTCTGAGATTGTGTAATTTGTGTATGTAGGTATATACCAAAGGCATGTGTGAGGGTTAGCACAAGAAACATAAGCTGGAAAATTATATGCCCTATGCCTAATACAATCAGCAACCTAACATAACAGGTAGAAGACATCATAAAAATATACGGGAGCAGATACTAGGGACAGGTGACTACCAACCTACCCAGAGAGTGCTCATGCTTATATGTTTGTCATGAAGTGCGAGGATGAAAGCCTTTGTGCCGATTATACGCATGTAGCGCGTAAGAAACAATCAGTAGCAAATACGTTTGAAGAGAGCTGTGACCATCTATTCCCCAGGTGAATAAATAAACCCATATGGGATGTGTGAGTGAAAACTTGTGTTATCGGTATGTCTGTAAACTATACTTGGTCACGATACTACGCCCGCGTAACAAGCCAGGTGGTATCGATTTCCCCACGCAATCACATCCACACAGTGAGTTTGTGAGCCTTGAAACACAGAAGCTAATAGCAGAAAAGCTACACCGGCTTCCCCAGAATAGGCTCTACCAACTTTAAGTGGCTGGAACACCATCACCACCTGCAGAGGCACTACTTCAAGCCTCCTCACGGGTTTCAGGAGTGAAACATTACTTCAGAAAGTATTGGATGGGAATATCACAAATAGCTTGAAGTCGAGAAGTGTGAGTCAATCAGATTCAAACTGGACGGATAAGTAAAATTACGCTATATGGTATAGCTAAAGTCTATGGATAAGTTCTAAACTATGGCGAAGGGAGCTTTCAGTGTTTCTAAAGATCCTGAAACTGATGTCACTTGGTGATGAAAATCACTGTCAAATGACACCGAATTTGAGTTTAATGACTGAACACTAACATCCAATCATTATGACATAACTAATTGGCACTACACATTAAACATATTAGGTTTGATCTGAAATCCAATATCTTGAATTGTGCTTATTTCATAATAATGTTTCATTTATTGTCGATCAGTAATGTTAATTTCATCATTGCCACAAAGGTACTGCATATCATGAATAAATAAAAGAACCAAAATTCACACTCGACTTACCGACTCAACTAAATAAATATCCGTAATGTCATTGTAGTGCATTTTCTTTGTACAACCTTCAGAACAAATAATTTCATCATGATGATTTTCCCTAGTTGGTTTTATTACAAGTGAAACCACATAAACTGTTGAAATGAAACAATTTAACCGAGATAACGGTAAATACAAAATAATCATACTGTCTTGTTGAATATGAGTTGTTTGTTGTTCTGGTGGAACTTGTAGGATCAGACTCGTCAGCTGATTAAGACTGTCACGTTCAACAGCTATTTATTTGACAAAATAGTTAAAGGTAAATGGAATAAGTAATAGTGTGTAAAGTTTAAATATCGTCAAATCACGAACAAGATATTTATCTAACCAGATCATTAGGAACAAACTTTAAAGAACATCAAGTAAATACGCTAACCGAATTACTACGAAATTTTTGAAGAAAATTTATGAAATGTTGAGTACTGCTAATAAGTAGAACATTTTGAAGTGGATTAAACGCTACAGTGAAGGCGTGAAAATTGTAGAAATGATTTAACACAAGGATGACGGTTGGTCTCTTCTTGACCAGAACAGTTTTATCACTTGTGCTTTTCAGATCCAAATTAACTGTTTGAATGCTTGCACGTTGACTACACTTAACAGCAAGTTTGTTTTGAATCTGGAATTCATATCTAAATATCCCAAAGTTAGATAAAGACCAACTGTCCAGTCTTCGATTTTAGCTTATCATTTAATGAATGTTATTTTATGGTGAAAAACACCTTCAGACAGGTCAATTTTTGAAAGTTGTCTAGACTTTTAATTTATGTGTACTTTTTCAGTCACCGACATGTATTTCTTTGCTAGACATAGGTACTATAATTACGCGGATCACATATATCTTTGACAACTACAAATCCCTTTTATTATTGGGAAAATACTCATCTTTATTTGAACTATTAGTGACGTCTGTCAGAATATTTTGGTATACAATAAAATAAAAAAACTGCTTCAATTTATAAGTCAGTATTATCACTTACTCTCGGAATATGTATGTACAAAAATCTCTTCTGATTCGATACTATTATGGTATGTAGTATCTATGCATTGTACAGATACACTATACCATGTATCCGGTGAAAGACTAAAAATATGAAAACTTGTGGCTGATTGACCAGCATTGAATTTCATTGGTTTGTTTGTATGATTGTGCAAAGCTTTTATGAAGACATAATAATAGTTGTTATTATCGAATGAATGCTCTTCTAATGCATGATCCCAATGTACAGTAAATCCATAAATATCAATTTCAGAAAATGTTAAATTGACTGGTGGTTGAATACCTGAAATGTTGATATGTTAATCACAAAAAACTAACTACAACACATAAATCATCGTTTTAAAGCAAGAGAAAGAGAGAAACAAATTAAGTGAAGTTGCTAGTCATATACGTAACTTCTGAACGAATATCACTCAAATTTTTACCGTTGCTCATAAAAACACTAATGAAAACGTTTACGATGGTTCTAGAGTCATTCCCATAGTAAAAAATAAGGGTGACAACAACATTTCGAGATGCTCTTACGTGTTCGTGGTTTTCTGGCATTTCAGAAAGTGTAATTTGTATGTAATCATCAGTGTGCGAATGACCATTATTTAATGAAAAGGATTTGTGAAGGTCTTTGGTCATTTTAAGAGCGATTTTCATCATGATTTTCGCTGTAATTAAAATAATTTTATGGAATATGACTGTAGAGAAAATACGCTGCACTTTATAATCATTACGATCTATAATTAAAGTTATTTCTTAATGCAAGCCCACTATGATTAGATTATCAAAGTGTCGGTTCCCATTTCTACTGTATTATATCTTTATGATATATATATATATATATATACATATATATATATATATAATTCCATAAATAGATATTAGCAGTTACCATTCTCTTATTCTTCGTTCGGATATAATACACTGGATGTTGGCAAAGAAGACTTATCATAATCAATTCAAGAAATGTCGAGCATTACCAAACGTTTACAAATTTACTAATAAAAAGATTACTGATTAACAAAACGCTTCTTGAACATGGACCTGAAATATGAACTAATGCCTTAAATTAATTTTGTTTAAGGAATACGTTTTCTGAGGAAAAATTTGATTACATTTTATAAAATGGATTAAGAAAACCTACTAAGTATTGATAAACTTACATGCTGGATATGTTGTATAGATTAGAAAAGATTTCGTTGCATCACTGTATATACCATAATTAGTATCAAACGACTTAAGATATACCGTATAATTTGTTCTAGGTAATAAGAAAGTGACAGTGAATTCGCTTTTCCCATTGCAAACATTGAACTGATTAAAATTATCATTAATATTTAAAGTTGGTCGCACATAAAGTGAATAACAAATGTTAGTGAACGTTAAATCTTGTTTCATTTCGTTCCATGTAATAGTGAATTCATTTGGTTTGATGTTGGTCACTGTTACATTTTCTGGCTTAATAGGTCCTTCAAATGGCAAAAAATAAAGTATTTTAATCAATACTAAAGAATCCGTTGAAACAAGCTGGGAACATTTATTTATTTATTTATTTATTTATTTATTTATTTATTTATTTATTTATTTGAACACATAAATATTGGTACAAGAGAGCGCCAATATATATGCGCCACACAAAACAATGAGAATTCGAAGAGAAGTAGGAAAAAAAAAACTAAGGAGCGCAAAAGAAAAAAAGAACAATGACGAAGAGATTGGTGTAAGGTAGTGTGGTAGTAACGAGGTACAATCAGAAGAAATCTTTCAGGTAAAGGAGGCACAACCACTTTTTATGAAGAAAGTAAAAGAAGGTTACAGCAGGATCGCCACTGGCTTCTATTCTGAGCCATATCTGATAACGTCTCTAGCCACTGTGTAGCACCATCTCTCGGACCCCAACCAGGGAGTCGTGAAGGACCAACACAAGCCAGTCCTTTGCAGCTTTCTTTCATGCCACGACACCATGTCATGCACTGACTACCTCTCCGTTTCTTCCAACCAGTCCCAGAGTCGGCAAATAATGCACGACGTGGAATTCTCTGGGACGACATTCGGAGAACATGTCCAAGCCACCGAAGTCGGTGTTTCAAGATGGTGACACCAATTGAATTATCATCTCTGTGCCCGAACACACGATGCCGAACCTCTGCATTACTGACATGGTGTTGCCACTGAATGTCAGCAATCCTTCGGAGACAGCGATGCTCGAACACAGAGAGTCGTCTAACGTCCTCAACTCGGAGAGACCAGGTTTCACAAGCATAGAGCAAAACTGCTCTCACCGACGCGTTGTAGATCCGGCCTTTTACAGCCAGACTAACATCACGAAGGAGCCAAAGGTGGCCCAGATTGGCATAAGCCGCTCTGGCTTTCACTATTCGTGCATTGATCTCATCACTCACACCCCCACCAGCACTTATGCAGCTACCCAGATACACGAACTTCTCGACTACGTCTATCTGCTCACCATCCAGGGTGAGTACAGGATTGGAATCCTGCCAGTCTTGTAGAAGTACTTTGCACTTCAAAGGTGCAAAGCACATACCATACCTACGGACACTGATTGCCAACTGATTAAATGCTGATTGCATGCCTTGGGCATTATCGCACAGTAAGACAATATCGTCCGCATACTCAAGGTCGAGAAGTCTTTCTCCAGGCAACAGATCCACACCACCATTACTTACATTCATCAGAGCTGTTTCCAGAATGTCATCGATGGCAAAGTTGAAGAGGAATGGTGAGATTGGGCAACCCTGCCTAACCCCACTGCTCGAATGGAACAATGGAGAGAGGTGGTTGTATGCCCTCACTCTGCCTGAGGTGTTTTTATACAGGGCTTTTAGGATGTTAATAAACTTCTCAGGCACACCCTTCTTCAATAGACAATCCCAGAGAACAGCCCTGTCCAACGAATCGAAGGCAGCCCTGATGTCAAGAAACACTACGATTGTTGACCTTTGATAAGTATGGCGGTGTTCTAACATTTGGCGGAGGGTGAAGATATGATCAATACATCCTCGACCAGAACGAAACCCAGCCTGCTCCTCGCGAGTCAATCTTTCTCGGGTTTTGAACAACCTACGAAGTATGACGGAAGCCAATAGCTTGGACGCAATTGGAAGTAGACTTATCCCCCGATAGTTGTTACAGGAACGACGTGAACCCTTCTTAAAGATAGGGACAACTATCGACTCATTCCATGACGTTGGTACACTCTCTAGTTCCCAAACCTTTGTAAACAACGTCGTCAATTCCTTAGTCAAAAAGTCACCTCCATCTTTAAAAAGAGCCGGAGGTAAGTCATCTGGGCCAGGTGATTTGTAACGCTTCAAGAGTTGGAGTTCCTTGCGGACTTCCTCCTCGTTTGGTGGATCAGTCGTTACCGGCCATGGAGGGCAGGACAGTCTGACCGATGTTGCCGGAGCAGCAGGCCAGTTGAACTGCCCTTCGAAGAACTCTGCCCATCGTCCAAGACGTCGATGGATGTTAGTGATTGGCATCCCATCATCCTCACAGATTGTTTCACTCACACCAGACTTCTTGCTGCCAGTGGCTCGGATGAGTTGGAAGAGCTTCCGGTAGTTACCAGATGCAGCTGCTGCTTCCAGCTCATTAGCACGCTTCGACCACCAGGCTTCTCGGTCCTTACGCAAGCTTTGCCCAATTTCCTTACGTAACATCCTTCGTTTATGGTCAAACTCACGGTCACCCGGAGTAGACCGACGGGCTTCAATGAGTTGTAAGGAGCCTGAAGAAACCCAGTGCTTATAAGCGGGACGTTTCGTGAACCTACAACCGACTTTACTCGCCATTTTCATGGCGTCATGCAATTGTAACCAATGCTCATCTATACTTTTCGGTGGAATGGTAGCTAGCCTAGAAGCTAGCTCGGTTCGATACTTACTAGCAACAGAAGTTGCAACCAGCTTGCTAACATCAATCCTTTGGTGGAGGTCACTTCGTTGGCCACTGAAAAAAAGGTAAGATTGGTGCAGACCAGGGCATGATCAGAGTTCAGATAGGTACTCCAAAAGGAGAGACAGTCTTGTACACAACCACGCCAGCGGTAGCCGATCGCGATGTGATCAATCTGAGTCCAGGCTTGAGATGCAGAGGGAGGACGCCAGGTGGCACATCGGCGATGACTGTGCCGAAAGTTAGTGCTAGCCAGAAACACGTTGTGGTCTGTGCAAAGTTGCAGTAGACGGTCCCCGTTATCTGACCTGCGACCAACGAGTCCCCATCGGCCACCTAAACGACTCCCTTCTGTGCCTAGACGCCCGACCTGAGCATTCAAGTCTCCGGCTAGTACTACAATATCTGTCGAACGCACTTTCTGGAGAAGAACTGATAACTGGTGGTAAAACTCATCCTTGATTGCATCCGGGCTGCAATCTGTCGGGGCATAGGCGGAGATGATGAAAAGACATCGTTTCTCACGCCGATTTCTTCTCACTTTGATGGAACTTTCTAATCTAACAGCACATAACCGACTGTTAATGGGGATCCAATCGACTAGTGCTGCCTCAGCTCTAGCGCTTAGTGCGACACCAACGCCAGCAAGACCAGACGAAGATGCCACAGGGTCCCCGGATAAGCGCACGTAAAACAAGCTTTTCGAAGCGACAGATGGAGATCGGATTTGTAGTACTTCGCCAGAGTCTTGAATACGGGTCTCGGGTAGACAACACACGTCGATATTAAGATTTCCAAAGACATAGCCAGCCCTATCTGTTGTCCGACCTGCATAAGTGTGCGAACGTTGAAGGCAGCCAGTTTGAATGGTGCACGTGGTTTTAGAAAAACTGCTTCAGTCCTCGTATTCGGTGGTAACATACAATTTTCAACCGGACAGTGACTCGAGAACGTTTAGATACAGTCGGATTTCCACCAAAGACGAGCCGCTGTATAAGTATAAAAGAGGGTGAATAGTGTGGAAAATAATAATAATAATAATGATAATAATAACAATAATGACAATAATAGTAGTAATAATAATATTAGTATTAATAATGACAATAATTGTAATGATAATAATTTGAATCAATTGGTTGTTTTTCGAAGCGAGAAAAGCAATTTCCATAGACACAAAGAGTTCATCATTTGTGTGTGGGCTGTGATACTGCCCGGGTGCCCAAACCGAAGCAGGTGGTTATCTTAGGGGGCCACTCCCCGAGCCTTTGACCTAAAGGTCCAAACCACAAGGCAGTGGAGCATCGTAAGGAGATGCAATCCCATGGTAGCCGGTGACCAACGATTGGTTCATACGCCATTTGTTCCCGCAGGATACTGGAGCCCATGTGCACCATTGGTTTGGAATCCGGTTAAAGCGCCGGACATTCGCTTTTCGTCCTCTCATTTTCGTAAACAACACCCCCGCCACGAGAAGGCAATGAGTAGGACTTCCCTGGCAGAGGCTGTATACGCGGGGCCGTGTGAGAGTATTTCGAGAGAGAGAGCGGACTCTCCCCACTCTCGGCCGTAAAGCTGGGAACAGCTCCATTTTAAAGTAGTTTTCACACCATTGTTATATAAGTAGTAAGTGATCATTTGATACAATTAGAGGTTATTGTTAGTATTTTATCACTGACAAAATAATATTGCCAATTCACACAAGTGTCTATTGTTACTAATTTGATAGATGTTTAGGACCGCAAATGGTTAGTCTGTGTTTGGCACATGTGCATCTAGTGCAGACTGACTCAATACGGCCGTTAAGTCACAAATATTACAACCGAGTTATTTTAATGTCATCAGGATAACATTTTCATAGTATTATGTTAATGTATTGTCTAAAGCGTTTGTATGATTTATATTTCTTATTCGTTTTTAACTCAGTCAGTACAATAAAAATTTAAGGAATTTTTAAATCTGTTAGTTTAAATACTCTACAGGATTAATTATGTATGTTACAATTCATTATTTTTCAATCCACAGTAAAATATTGCAACTTGAAATAATCAAGGTATTATGAAAATATAATGATGGAATTTAATAGATCATTTGAATACAAAGCAGTTAATTTCACAAATCTAGACAACCAAATGAGGGAACAATGTTTGCCAAAACTTTGTGATAACAGCGCAACACATTTCGAACAATCTGAGCAGACATTTAATTTTTCGTAAACAAATAACTTAACAGAAGGGGTTTTGTGGATATTATAGTAATTTTAATAGTTGAGACCATGTGTCAATTGAAGCTAGACCACCATAGAAAACCTGGAAGCACTAGATGTCCGTTTCGTCCTATTGTGAGACTCCTCAGCAGTGCGCAACCACTATCCCACCTCGCGAGATTCTAACCCAGGACCCATAGGCTGTCCAGTGCTTCCACGTTTTTCATAGAGATCTTGCTTCAATTGACTTATGATCTCAACTATTAAAAATACCTTAACAATTGTGTGATCAGAATGTTCGGAATGTATTGCATTAATATATCACATAATTATGAAATTCGTGGTAAAATCATATTACCTAGATCAGTTGAGGCTGTAAATACTTGACAAGGGAGAAGAGTCAAAACTAACATTGAAAATACGTTGTTAGTAACGAATTACATAATGATGAATGATGAGTGTAAATTCGAGCGTGTAACTTACAATAGTACAATCTTTTAGTTAGAAAATTATAAGAAAGTAGGCTGGGGTTTAAAAATTATTAAGTTACTAAAGGATTGAGATTCACATTGAAAGTGATGGTCTGAAAACCTAGATTTACTGTCAATTGTCTCAAAATCATCGAATGAGTTTTAAACTGTCAATAAATATACAGTATAAAATGAAAAACAGTACAAGGCTAAATAAAGAATGAAATGTTAGACATCGTAATACACTGAAAGCACTATTACATAAAAATACGGGCTAATCATCTCTTTTTACCATAATTAACTATTCGGTTTAAACACTTGGAATTTACAGTCTTCTGTAATTTCAGATATCAACTTTACGGTTGTAATCTGGTCAGTCAGTAGGTCTATGATGAAGTTAAACAAAAATGGAGAAAGTGGACAGCCTTGTCGGACACTACTTGAGGTTGCAAAAACAGACGACAGTTCGCCATAAGCTCTGACTCGACGGGTAGTGTTCGAGTAAAGAGCCTTCACAAGGTTGATGGACTTCTGAGGTACGCCTTTCAATGACAGACACTGCCACAGAATCTCGCGGTCTACCGAGTCAAATGCTGCCTTTAAGTCAAGAAAGACCATCATTGTCGAACGCCGATAAGTAGGCCTATGTTCTAGAACCTGACGAATGGTGAATATGTGGTCGATGCAGCCACGACCAGGTCTGAAGCCAGCTTGATTCTCTCGTGTTTGCAGTTCACGATTCTTAGTTAGGCGTCCGATAATTATCGAGGCTAGTATTTTAGATACTGTATTAGTTAAACTAATCTTATATATTGGGACGATAAGTGATTGTGACCAGTCAGGTGAGATAACGTCTAACTCCCAGATCTTAGCTACAATATTAGTCAACCTAATCGCTAAAATTGGACCACCATCCTTAAAGACCTCTGGAACCAATCCATCTGGACCAGCTGCTCTTACTCGTTCCAGATTAACTATAGACTTTCGAACTTCTGCTAGAGTTATGGGACCTACTTCAATGTTCCATTCACACTGTCTGGGAATAAAGGGTAGTTGTAGAGTAGCTGGAGGCCAGATGAACTAGTACTTAAAATGTTCCACCCATCGTTCTAAACGTCTGGACTGGGAGCAGATAAGAGTGTCGTCTTTTTCCGAGATAGTTTCACTTACACTTGACTTAATAATTCCAATTTCTTTTATTAGTCTGTAGAGCTGTCTTGTGTTCCCTATAGCCGACGCCTTTTCCATCTCTTTTGCTTTCGTTACCCACCACTGCTCACGGTCGTTTCTTAGACTTTTTCTTAACCTAGATCTGATTTGTTGTCGCTCTTCATCGTGTTCAGAGCCTGATGTGATGAGTTTACGAGAATCCATCAGTACAATAGACCTTGAGGAAATCGATTGGTTCTTTGTAACCCTGTGTTTAAATCACTGACAGATGTCACTGCTGTTTCCACAGCTGTTTGTATATCTTTCCAAGCATACCTGAGTCAGCCTCGTTTTCAGAACTACCTAAGTGTGAACCCAGTTGTTCCTGGAATCTGCTTTCGGCTTCCCCGTCACTCAGTTCAATTCTAATGGGTCTTCTTAGTGTGGCTTTTCTGCGTCCAGTAAGGTTCAGGCAGATGCATGTCCGTATTAGAGCATGGTCGGAGTCAAAGCACGTGCTCCAGAATGGGCGACAATCTTCGATCGACCCTCTCCAACGAAGACTGATGGCAACATGGTCTACTTGAGTTCATCGTTGGTTTGATGCAGGGCGTCGCCATGTTAGACAATGTCTCTCTTTATGTTTAAAATTAGTGCTTGCTAAAAATAAACGATTGTCTGAGCATAGTTGCAACAGACGATCAACATTATCTGTTCACTGAGCTGGGATACTAAAATGCACACCTAAATGCCTTTCTGTTTGGTTTAAGCTACCTATCTGGGCATTAAAGTCACCTGCTACGAGTACTAAGTCTGAACGTGTAGCTTTCTGAAGAAGTCCAGATAGCTTTCTGTAAAATTCATCTTTCACTTCATCCGAGCTGCAGTTGGTGGGAGCGTAGGCAAAAACGACAAAAAGGCAACGACGTGTGTCCCTATCCTTCCGAGTTCTGACGTAGCCGTTTAGACGAACAGCACATAGATGACTGTTATCGAGGATTCACTCTAACAGTGCTCGTTCCGCCCTCATGCTTAGTGCTATGTCTACACCTGCCAGTCCACGAGAAGTAGCCATCGGGTCAAAAGGTACACGGAGGGTGTATCTCGTTGGCTTACCGTTTTGCCGAGGTGACGTCAAGTATATGTCCACACTGGGATCCTGTATGCGTGTTTCAGAGACACAGCATACATCAATGGTACGAGATTCTAGGGTTCTAGCCAAGGAGGCTTGCTGGTCGATCTGGCATAGGGTGCGTACGTTGAAGGCTCCAATGTGTAGTTTGGTGCGAGGTTTCACTAGATCAGGGATAGTTTTTTGCGCGCTAGAATCGTTGGCTATGGTAACACTTGAGGGGGAAGGCGAAAAAGGAAGTTTAGAGGTGAAAGTCGATGTAGGAGGAATAAAAGAAATTGAAGAGGGAGGTTGATTATGAATACAGTGGTCTTGAGTGCTGTTAGAAGTATGAGCGCGGTTACCACTTTTCGGTTGCCCACACCGTGGAAGGGTTCTTCCGGAGGTGCCTGAAAATGAAATTAGATTAGGGGTTGTCTCAGTGACCTGAGAGCGTGACCGCAGTGCCCATGGGACAACTGCTTGAGGTCGGTCACACGAGACCTTTTTATGGGTAATTCTTTTGTTAGCTCCGTACTTGTTGAGGCCTTACTGCTGAAGACGGATATCCGTGGGATAAGGCGAGGTGTGCATTTTTAGGATCGACCTTTTCTAACCCCACCCCTCCTTGTGGGAAGGCAGCATCGCTGTCATACTGGTTGTCTGAAGGAAAGACCTTACTGCTGTCACACCTCTGTACAGTCAGCAGTACTACTTCGCCTTCGGACCTTAGGTTTGTTGTTTAACCTAATGTACACTGTTTAGCATGGGGGTAAATAGCATTAATCAGTTGTCTAAAGCGAGTTAGGAGGAACCGATTTCGGATTTGCAAGTTCGAACACTAGGTCAGTGAATGTTTATTTATCAACCGACCTACTTTTCTAGGATAAAACAAATGTATATTAAAACAATAAAATATGTGTTATGGCCTAAATGACAACTTACTATCTGGATAGGTTACAGCGGTAATATAATTTGAAGGCAAACTTCGAAGTCCGTATGTTAAATCAAACGATTCAACATAAACTGTATAGTTTACTCCCGGTAATAACGATTTGATGTCACACACGTTAGAATGACAAATATTGAATTTTTGGAAATGGCTAAATACAATAAACGTTGGACGGATATATACCAAGTAACAATTGATGTTGAAAGCTAAATTCTCCTCAGGAGGCATCCATACAACACGGAGCTGTGTTGATCCAGTCTCAATAAACGTAACGTTGATAGGTGGATTAGGAGCTTTGGTACAAAATAAATCAAATGAGAAAACGAAATAGACAAATGTCAATATTTTAGATTCAATTATATAAGTAGTTGTTTACATATTATGTGATATTCATCATAGATTAACATAAGTTAAGGTATTATTAAAAGCAGAAAGGATTGGATAACTGTTTTGTAGGTAGTGTGAGATTCCTGAGTAGCATGCACACAAGTGTTACTTTTAGACCACTGATTCGGAACTTAGGTATTCTTATTTTGAAATTCAATCATTTCACGATATAGAACACAAACTATCTGAATTATTGGTGATGACAGTCTTATTCTCAACATTACTAAACTGTGCGTACAATGATATCATGGATCCAGCTATATAATGTGATTGGTTCTGTCAATATACGATCTGGTGAATACACTAAAACCAATTTCTGAAACTGAACTGGACAAAAAAGCTTGAAACTTCCGTGATCAAATCTGTATTTTGGTCTATACAGTAACAATAGATATTTATTGATATTTTCTTGCCTCATAACACACTTTGAATTTTTGGGATTGTAATAAATATCTTCACCTCGTTTAGTTATTTCTATGTTCTGTAACAGTGTCTGTTGGCCCAGGAAATTGTCAGCAACGATATGCTTGAAATTGACTAATATTTCTTTAAATAATGAGATTCGTATTGATTAAAAGCCTGATAAATCGTTACACATCAATGCTATGTAAAAAACTGCCTTTTTTGCTTCAAGTCAGACTGCTTATTATTAAAAAGTAGTCAGCTTTATTGAAGCATCTAAATAGCTCGAATTTTCGGATGAATAATAAAAGATTTACACAAATATTTCACTTTACTTATCCTTAGATAAAGTTGCATAGTGGCCAGCAGTAAAATTACTATTCAATCTAATTGAGACTTGTTAACTGGGTGACATGTCTTCCAGTTACGAAGTTCATTCTGGAGATCCAAACCAATGCTTATCATTCCTGCTTTTACTACACTACCGCGTTGTCCACCGGTCAAATGCCGTAATTATAAGCAACAATGAGAAAATATAAAGCTTTACAAAAAAACATTTACCCTAATATTTCTATTTTAATATTTTGGCTGATTTATATTCTAGACACAGTGGTATATCATCCTCCTCGTTCTGAATTTCCGAAATCACAACAATCATTAGTTTTTTTTATTATTTTGGAACGTTTATCTAATTGAAAACGTAGTATTTGATTCATGCAAATCGTCTAGCAATATTTTTGTTTGACAACCGTATACTGATGCGAGCAGAGAAACAAAGAAGCCATGATAAACAACGGAAGCTAGTTTTGAGGACGTTATTCCACTTAGATCAAAGATTGTAAAATGCTAACATTTATTTTTTCTCCCTAGTTTATTGAAATTCATTTGCCCCACGGCAATTTTTTTTAGAAAACCCCCCACCCACCCTTTTTAAAAATGCTTTTTCAACCCAAAATTGCAATATTTTTCGTCCCGTTTCGTCCAATGAAATGGCTAGTTTTGAAGTTCGTTTTTAATTTGTTAGTTATGTTTTGTCGGATTGCTATAAAACATCAGTACTTGTCGACGAAGTACATTTTAATCATCATTATGGAGGACAGTAACGTGCCTAGTACAAGCGCTGTTGTTTCTCACGTAACAGAAATAGAGGAAGTCTTTTTGACAACGTTGTTTCTCGTTGCGTTCCCATCGATTGAAGCGTTGAAGTCCGCTATCACAAATTATGAAAGATCAACTTACTGTCATTATGTAGTTCGAGATTCGCATTTGTGCAGAAATGAAAACTCGTACATTAAATTTGTGTGCTGGAGACATGGCCGTATAACATCTAGCGGTTCGTCACAGCGGATTAGACGGAGGAGGTAATTTTATAAATGTTATTAACATTTTTTGTCATGAAGGGCTTCCATGAACACTGAATGTCCGGCCTTCATGTATTGTAAGATTATCGACGGCTACTGGACTGTTGTACGTGGGAATGTGCATCACAATCACGAGTGCAATTCCCTAAGGTACCAAGGAAATTCATGGGTGCGCAGGTTAACAGAGGCGCAGTTTGAAAATGTGCGACCGCTGCTAATATCTGGTACTGCTTCATTCCACATTAAGAATTATGCTTACCATTCTTATGGGAAACTACTGACTGATCAAGATATCTATAATATGCGGTACAAAGTGTTCTCACAGGCGAACATTCCTGGTAAGCCATTTGGCAATTTATAATGTAAACGATAGGTGATTACGGGAAATTGAAAGCGCACATAACATCTTTGGGTGGGCGATGCGAATACGAATTAGACGATGAGAACTGTCTATCGTACTTTTTCTTCAGCACTGGTGATCAAAAGATTTTTGCAGACCGTTTCGTTGATGTTATTGGTTTGGACGGAACATACAAGACGAATAACGAGAATATCTATTTATATCAGGTCGTAGCCCTTGATATGAATTTGAAGGCGATACCCGTTTGTATTGCATTTATAAGTCGCGAAACATCGACTTTGATTTCTCGATTCCTGTCGTTCTTCCAACGGTTAACCAACAGTCAACAGGTGGTAGGCATTGTGACAGATGATTCACCTGCAATAGCTGCTGCCATCATGCAGGTTTATCCCAATGCTCACCATATCTTGTGTCGCGTCCACCTTGTTCGCAATGTTATAAAGAGGGTAAGTGTTTCGTTCATTAACATTAACCCAGTAACCTTAATTGTAGAGGGTACGATCAGAAGTGATAGAACTATTTTTTCGCCTGATGTTTACTCAAACGGTTGAAAGGTAAATCAAAAGCAACATAACATTATTTTGTAGTTTTAACAATGTATTATCCTTGATCGAAATATCGGACGGAACGTTTGCCCGATATGTCAGAGACCACTTATTAGCGAGAAAACACAAATGGTCTACAGCTTTTCGACCATCAGCAACGCTACTTCAACTCAATAATACGAACTTTGTTGAGACAAGTCACCGAATTTTGAAGATGCATCAACTGAGTCGAAAAACACCTGTGCTGAGATCTATCTTTAGTGTGCAACTTCGCGTTGGATATTGGATGGAAGCAAGATTACAGAAATATACATCAGATTGCCGGGTAAAAGCCAACATCGGCCAAGCGCCAGCAATGCGTGGACTTCAGGAACGACTGACACCAGCTGCATGTCAAGTACTGAAGCGGCACCTGCGCACTCCTTTGACGGAGTTCGTAATGTCTGCTGACTTATTCACGGCTGTGGACGCAACAGGGACTTACAATGTACACCGTGATTCCATGCGCTGCTCCTGTACATTTTCCATTGAAAACGGTTTGCCATGTCGGCACATATTGGCTTACTGTACACACAGTATGACTGATGTGAACTTACAGTCAATTTGTGATAGGTGGTTACACTCTGATACTTATCTGACTCGTATTGCAGTTGAGAATTATTTCCCAATGCAATTGAGCCAGCCGAGCATGAAGAATACAGTGATTGCGTTAATCAGGCGACTGTCTGAGGAACAATGCAGTTCACTTTATAGCCAGTTTTATCAAGTGGAAGAGCGTTATAGGAAAATTTAAAATGCAAAGAATTTTGTGTCAATGAAATGCATAGTATGAGAATTGAGTCTTGTCAATTGACATAATAATAATAATAATAATAATAATAATAATAATAATAATAATAATAATAATAATAATAATAATAATAATAATAATAATAATAATAACAATAATAATAACAATAATAATAATAATAACAACAATAATAATAATAACAATAATAATAATAACAATAATAATAATAATAATAATAACAATAATAATAATAATAATAATAATAAGGAAAATAAATAATAATAGCATTGTAAATGTTCATTGATACAGTTGACCTTATTCATATTTATACGTTTAAAGTCGATAGATATTTGTTGAGTCAGTCAGACGACGTAGGCTTGTTCATTTACACTTCATGAAACTGATATTTCAAATGCTTGTCAAAAATGGTTACATTCATAATGTCTAGATAATTCAGGTTTCATATTACGGCCGTTAACAATATTCACACATGACGGATTAAACACACTAGTTTTTATTACGACCAAAAAATTAATTTTAAAATATAGAACTACAAATAATTTACAAGTGAACACAATAAACCCTTTCAATGGACTTTTAAAATTAACCACATTTAAATCTAACGTTTTCTAATTCTCATTAAGAATGAACATTTACAAAAAACAGTTCACTAAATATTAAGTGTCTATTTCGGTTAAATTTATTACTACATTCATATACTGTCAAAGTCAGTTCATTCAATGATGGTATACGGTTGCTTCACCTGAATCATAAATATTGCAGCTAGTAAGTTATCATGATGATTTATTAATATGTTGATTTGTTTCTCGAACTAACAGACCATGTGTTACCAAAAAACCTATGCATACACTTTAGTGATAATTCGTTTATTAATTTGGTATTACAGATTTGACTACCGACCTTACTCAGTAATCACTATTATCAAATATTCAAACCGATTTTCAGTTGCTTTTTTCCAAAAACTTTCTTTTTATGTGATATATATAAGTACTCGTGACATTAAAATTGTTGATCGGAAATCAAAAATTTATCCCAATACGCATTCAGTAACAGTAGGAATGCACTTAAGTTGGTGTTTTCTTCTTAAAATGTCTAAATTTCTTACAAGACTAAGATTACACAAAAAGATTTATTCATTATCGTTAAATTTCAAATTCAAAAATCAAAATTCTGACATCCGATCACAGCTCTAGATACGATTTCAATCTCAACTAATCAGATTGCAAAGATGAACAGTTTACGACCAATTACAAAATTATTAAAGGTGACAAAATGTTTGTTCATTATCACTTGAGCACACACCTGCAAAACAAGTACACCAATCAACGATCGCTAAATTTTTCTTTGACACCATACATTTTTTAAAAAATGGGTGATAGGGAATCTTAATTGCCGTGGGCAAAATGTCAACCGCTTTCCAATATGC